TAACACAAATACAGATCCTACTGATTGCTTCACCGCCTGTTTCAGATTGGATTCTCCGATAAAAACACAGTTAGTTATGCTCTGCATCTTAGAAACGTACTCTACACACATGTGTAATTTTGCCCTTTGTTTAGTTTTGCCCTGTACTATTTAAATTTCAGCTCACTCGGACACAGTCTTCCTTATGCGTATAAACATTAGCTGTCAAAAGAGCCTCATAATAAAAGACTGTGTGATTTTGATTTCTATCAATGTATGGGAAAATGTCATATCTTTGCTTATTGTTACTCAATATAGAGAACTTTAGGGACTATTTGCTGTCCTTATTCCTATCAATGCATGTCCCTGTATATATGTCAGTGTTGTGGTTGTCAGATGAGAATGTCCCGTCCTTCAAGACTCCATCTCGACCTGCAGCCAGAAAAAAGCAGAAGATGAAGGTAGGGCTGCGTTTTGACACCTGGGAGTTAAGGACCACTGGTATGTCATGTCACGTCTCATTGCAGAGAATTCAGGGCAGTACTATCATGTCTCATTGCAGAGAATTAAGGGCAGTACTATCATGTCTCACTGCAGAGAATTCAGGGCAGTACTATCATGTCTCATTGCAGAGAATTCAGGGCAGTACTATCATGTCTCATTGCAGAGAATTCAGGGTATTACTATCATGTCTCATTGCAGAGAATTCAGGGCAGTATCTCATTGCAGAGAATTCAGGGTAGGGTGTCATATGTCTCATTGCAGAGAATTCAGGGCATCATGTCTCATTGCAGAGGAATTCAGGGCATTACTATCATGTCTCACTGCAGAGAATTCAGGACAGTACTATCATGTCTCATTGCAGAGGAATTCAGGACAGTACTATCATGTCTCATTGCAGAGAATTCAGGGCAGTACTATCATGTCTCATTGCAGAGAATTCAGGGTATTACTATCATGTCTCATTGCAGAGGAATTCAGGGCAGTACTATCATGTCTCATTGCAGAGAATTCAGGGCAGCACTATCATGTCTCAATGCAGAGAATTCAAGGCAGTACTATCATGTCTCATTGCAGAGAATTCAGGGCAGTACTATCATGTCTCATTGCAGAGAATTCAGGACAGTACTATCATGTCTCATTGCAGAGAATTCAGGACAGTACTATCATGTCTCATTGCAGAGAATTCAGGGTATTACTATCATGTCTCATTGCAGAGAATTCAGGGCAGTACTATCATGTCTCATTGCAGAGGAATTCAGGACAGTACTATCATGTCTCATTGCAGAGAATTCAGGGCAGTACTATCATGTCTCATTGCAGAGAATTCAGGGCAGCACTATCATGTCTCAATGCAGAGGAATTCAAGACAGTACTATCATGTATCATTGCAGAGAATTCAGGACAGTACTACCATGTCTCAATGCAGAGAATTCAGGACAGTACTATCATGTCTCAATGCAGAGGAATTCAGGACATTACTATCATGTCTCATTAAGAGGAATTCAGGACATCTATCATGTCTCATTAAGAGGAATTCAGGGCAGTACTAGCATGTCTCATTACAGAGGAATTCAGGGCAGTACTGTCATGTCTAATTGCAGAGGAATTCAGGGCAGTACTATCATGTCTCATTAAGAGGAATTCAGGGCAGTACTGCCATGTCTAATACCTTGGCATTCAGAATGTGGCTCTATCATGTCTCATGCCAGGGAGCCCATGGTTGCGCTGTTATGTCCCATCTCAGGGCATTCAGGACAGCATTATCATTTCAGGGCTGCACTGTCACATCTCATGTCAGAATTCAGAACTGTACTTTTATGTCTCATGTCAGCATTCACATTTACACTGTCATGATTAGTATCAGGGAATTCAGGGTGGTACTGTTGTATCAGGGTGTTCAGGGCCACACTGTCATCATTAGTATCAGGGAATTCAGGGTGGTACTGTTGTATCAGGGTGTTGAGGGCCACACTGTCATCATTAGTATCAGGGAATTCAGGGTGGTACTGTTGTATCAGGGTGTTCAGGGCCACACTGTCATCATTAGTATCAGGGAATTCAGGGTGGTACTGTTGTATCAGGGTGTTGAGGGCCACACTGTCATCATTAGTATCAGGGAATTCAGGGTGGTACTATTATGTCAGGGTGTTCAGGGCCACACTGTCATCATTAGTATCAGGGAATTGGTACAGGGTGAGGGCCACACTATTATATCAGGGGAATTCAGGGTACTGTTATATCAGGGCCACCACACTGTCATCATTAGTATCAGGGAATTCAGGGTGGTACTATTATATCAGGGTGTTGAGGGCCACACTGTCATCATTAGTATCAGGGAATTCAGGGTGGTACTATTATATCAGGGTGTTCAGGGCCACACTGTCATCATTAGTATCAGGGAATTCAGGGTGGTACTGTTGTATCAGGGTGTTGAGGGCCACACTGTCATCATTAGTATCAGGGAATTCAGGGTGGTACTATTATGTCAGGGTGTTCAGGGCCACACTGTCATCATTAGTATCAGGGAATTCAGGGTGGTACTATTATATTAGGGTGTTGAGGGCCACACTGTCATCATTAGTATCAGGGAATTCAGGGTGGTACTGTTATATCAGGGTGTTCAGGGCCACACTGTCATGGATGAGTATCAGGGAATTCAGGGTGGTACTGTTATATCAGGGTGTTCAGGGCCACACTGTCATCATTAGTATCAGGGAATTCAGGGTGGTACTGTTGTATCAGGGTGTTGAGGGCCACACTGTCATCATTAGTATCTAGGAATTCTGGGTGGTACTGTTATATCAGGGTGTTCAAGGCCACACTGTCATCATTAGTATCAGGGAATTCAGGGTGGTACAATTATATCAGGGTGTTCAGGGCCACACTGTCATCATTAGTATCAGGGAATTCAGGGTGGTACTGTTGTATCAGGGTGTTGAGGGCCACACTGTCATCATTAGTATCTAGGAATTCTGGGTGGTACTGTTATATCAGGGTGTTCAAGGCCACACTGTCATCATTAGTATCAGGGAATTCAGGGTGGTACAATTATATCAGGGTGTTCAGGGCCACACTGTCATCATTAGTATCAGGGAATTCAGGGTGGTACTGTTGTATCAGGGTGTTGAGGGCCACACTGTCATCATTAGTATCTAGGAATTCTGGGTGGTACTGTTATATCAGGGTGTTCAAGGCCACACTGTCATCATTAGTATCAGAAATTCAGGGTGGTACAATTATATCAGGGTGTTCAGGGCCACACTGTCATCATTAGTATCAGGGAATTCAGGGTGGTACTGTTGTATCAGGGTGTTGAGGGCCACACTGTCATCATTAGTATCTAGGAATTCTGGGTGGTACTGTTATATCAGGGTGTTCAAGGCCACACTGTCATCATTAGTATCAGGGAATTCAGGGTGGTACAATTATATCAGGGTGTTCAGGGCCACACTGTTATGATTAGTATCAGGGAATTCAGGGTGGTACTACTATGTCAGGGTGTTCAGGGCCACACTGTCATGATTAGTATCTAGGAATTCAGGGTGGAAGTATTATGTCAGGGTGTTGAGGGCCACACTGTCTTCATTAGTATCAGGGAATTCAGGGTGGTACAATTATATCAGGGTGTTCAGGGCCACACTGTCATGGATGAGTATCGGGGAATTCAGGGTGGTACTGTTGTTTCAGGGTGTTGAGGGCCACACTATCATCATTAGTAGCAGGGAATTCAGGGTGGTACTATTATATATCAGGGTGTTGAGGGCCACCCTGTTATGATTAGTAGCAGGGAATTCAGGGTGGTACTGTTGTATCAGGGTGTTCAGGGCCACACTTGTCAAATACTTTTCATTTTAGACTTTAATTCTTCTGGGCAAAATGACTTTTCACAAGAAATTTTCTTTTGGAAAAGATGGCATGTTTTGGGGTTGATTAGGTTGTTGTAACTTTTTTGTTTCTTGGCCATTCAGTTAGATTTCTCCAGTGATGAGGAGACAGAGAGTGGCACCAGTTCCACCAAGGCCTGTAGTCAGACATCTCAAGCCCATCATAGCAGCAGTCACACCAGTGATGATGATGATGATGATGATGATGATTTCCAGCTGGGTGAGCTAAGATATAGCTCTTCCGTTAGATTATATAGTAATGAGAGACTCATCTGTCTAATGGCTGTACTTTAGCTTGAAGCGGGGGATATAGTATTAGGCTCCGTCCGTCCGTCCGTATGTACAAATTGGAATATCTTAAGAACAGTTGACTAGATTCTTTTCATACTTGGTACCTAGGTTCATCACAGTATGCGAAAGGTCCCAGTCAGGTTTGGTGACCTTGAACTTCATTTCAAGGTCAAAAGGGCACTTTGACGTTTTACCTTTGTCAGCAAGATATCTCAAGAACCGTTCACTGGATTTTCTTCATATTTTACACCTAGCTTCATGTAGAGAAGGTGCAGGGCCCAGTCGATTATGGGGACCTTCACATAATTTTCAAGGTCAGAGCGACACTTTGAAGATTTCAGCATGTTAAGATTGTCAGCAAGATATCTCAAGAACAGTTCACTGGATTTTCTTCATAGACTTTCAAGACTTCTCTCTCTTGATTTTTTTTGATAAGCAATTTCTTTATTACTATATTTTGCATATTTCATACACCATGACATTCATGTCAAGGTCAAAGTGAGTCTTGAAAATATTTGTGTGTTTGAACAACTACAGAGCAAGATATCATGATGGTCATGTTTTTGTTGACATTTAACTTCATCTTAAACTATGACCAAATGTGACCGAAGCAGAATGAGTGGCTAAATTCATCTCACCATACTGTCATGCTTTCAGTTACTGCTTATCTGACTTATACTTACAGGCAGACAAATATAGCTGAAATATTGCTCACCCTGGCTGTAGAATACATTCACTCACCAATTCCTAATAATTCAGCTGTCCTTATGTTGCTGAAACTTTCAAAACATTCACTCTGACTGGTTGAAGATATATTGTCACCTAATTTTTGTTTTCTACAAAGGCAAAGCTACTGGTAGGAACCGAATGGTGAATGCATCAAAGATAAAGAAGAAAAAGAAAAAACGAGAAACAATCAAGGTATGTTAGTTATTTTAACATTTCAAGCATTGTTAGTGTTTGATTCCTATACCAAGTCTTCAAGCATCTTTGTATTCTCCCATGACATTAACAATAACTGGGTATGACTGAGATGAGGCATGTGATTTGAAGAACCATGTATGGGGTGTATTTGATCAAATTATGTATACCTTGTGCATACATATGCTAGTGGGATATGCATGGTCTACACATTCCATCATCATGTGTAGTCCATGGTGAAGATTATGAACACACCCCTGCCAGGTGTTTCTGAAGTGTTGACTTTGAAGCTTGCACTGTCAGTCAGAGCAACAATCAATTCAGATAATAGAGATAGTTCAGAGCCATGTTTGATTTTCGGAAGAATATGTTTCAGTTTGTGTCCTTCATTCATCATTGATGTGTTGTCATCCATCCCGCTGTTGTTGGTTTTATACAAATTGGTGTATTGATAGTTCCTCATGGAAGACTGTTTCCAGATGATGAAACAATATTGATGAATGATATGTTTGCACATATCATATAATTGGAATGTTTTTTATGGATAGAAACGTCAGCAAAATTGTGATCAGTATCCAACATATGTAAGCAGATCATGGACTAAGGTTTCATGATATTGATTAGATTTGGCTTGGCACTCTTGGTAATGTTGTAATTTACTTCAACAAATGTGCATAAATCATACAATGTGAAACATATACACACACAGCTGACTACAGCAAGACTGAGACCATTTTCAGGTCATTACATGGAGGCCATTATTAGTACATATAAAATAGTTCCCATGCTGTATCTGAAGGTATATATGTACTAATGGACACATTTTAGAGAGGAGGGGGGTCATGGTTTCATTGACAATGAGGCCATGCTGTCTGGCAGTGAAGCATCATCAGATGAGGAGTGGGACAGCAACGATGAGTGTCTGGAGGCCAGCTTTGTCAACGATGACACTCAGATGTCTCAAGATCATGTTGGTGAGTAGCAGACAAATCAGTCCCTCACAATCAAATGACACACATAATTCCTGTCAGTATCATATATCATACCTCTGTTACATCATTACCATTTATTTTATTTGTCACAATTCTATGGAATCTGCAGATTTTCAACAGTTCTCTTCACTATCAACTATCCATATACCATTGTCCAAAGCTCTTGTACATATGCCAGGTGGGATAATTCACTTCTTTCCTCTGTCAAGTTAGCTGACGCTAGGTTTGGTTTGTTTTTTTAACTCCGCCATGAACAGTATTCCAGTTATATGGCATCAGTCTGTAAATAATCGAGTCTGGACCAGACAATCCAATGATCAACAGCATGAGCATCGATCTACGTAATTGGGATACGATGAAATGTGTCAACCGAGTCAGCGAGCCTGACCACCCGATCCCGTTTGTCGCCTCTTACGACAAGCATGGGTTACTGAAAATCAATTCTAACCCGGATCTTCACGGGTGCAGACGTTTAGGAGAAGGTCAGGCAGAAGCAAGTAGTAAAGAAAACTGTGGAGGCCTTCAACAGATGATCTCTTCCAACACATCTAATATTTGTATGGGAAACCCCTTCCTTCACAGAAAATGCAACTGTTCTTGCACAAGGTGGGAACCATCATTTCCTTGCAATATTTTGTTAATCACCTTTGGTTGCTATTTCACTCTGTGATCACCACTCATCTCAAGTTATAATACAAGCAGACAAGCTGACAACAGTTCTACAGCAGACAAGGGTTAAGAAGAGCGAGCATTAAAATAAGTAATTTGTTGCACAACCATTGGTTGGATGAGGCTTTCATCCCTCTATAATGATTGGTGTCTGGTGACATACAGGCTACAGTTATGTCCCTTGCAAGGCAGGACAAACACAACTAGAGCTAGACTTAGTTGCACAAACAAAGTGTAAAGTGCCTACTGTGATGAAGAAATGGTCTACTCAAGAGAGAGATCTATTCATTATTTGCTAGGAATGTGAGCAATATTGCTTGCTATCCAAGCATGGAAAGTTCATATGCTTGGAAAGTTCATGTCTCATTCTTAGCAAGCTGATCATACTGGTTGTTCAGAAGAAATGTGCTCTCAGAGAGGTCAGTCCATCCTGAAGTATTCAAGTTTATAACCTCAGTCTACGATACTCCTCATCTTCACTTGTTTAAGAACAAACTATTTAAGGACCCAGCCAGCCCTCCAGATCAACACACTATCAGTGAGCTGGAAGGGAATATCCGTCTATGTATTGGTTTCTTGGTCTCACCAAGACAGGAGAAGACTGGGACTGGCACAGGGAGTGATAATATTTCAAAATACCAAATGAACTCGGGGTAAATTGGCCATTTGATTGTTCGTCAGATATTTTAAAGTACACCAATGACTAGTTAACACTGTAATTATAGATCAAAGGCACACAAGGTGATGTGTGGTATATCAGTCACAGTCTGGGATGTGTCCATGTACTACTACTGTAAGTGATGTCACAGGAGACCTCAGAACTGAAATAAGGTCAAATATTCATTAAATAGCACTGTCCTTTATAAGGGCATGTCGGAATGACATCAGAAGGAATACATCAGATAATAGACTAGGACTGGTAAATATAACTGGAAGTGGCATCATAGATGACATCAAAACCAGAAGTAACATAAGAGGTTACATCACAACCAGTATAGTAACGTAATACAAATAGAACCTGAAGAGATGCATGAAAGTCCCAGTCAGTACCAGAAGTAAGGTCTTAGAAGACATCTGAACTGGAAGTGACATTGTGAGAAGTGAGGTCTGAAGTGACCTCAGTACAGTAAGTGAAGTTGTTATATATCCATAGTACTACATTATTAGGTAGCAAACGTACATCATACAAACATGTGACGTCATAATGTGGCTAATCTAGAAGGTCTGGATGTAAATATAGTTTTTTTCAGAACTGTTAGATATGTTGGCAGTGATGAGATTGTCGGGTGAAAGTTTTTTTATATTTTATGGCATGATTTGCAATCTAAACAGGAATTTATGGCTTTGATGTAATAGAGGTATGTGATTGATGTAATAGAGGTATGTGATTGATGAAATAGAGGTATGTGATTGACGTAATAGAGGTATGTGATTGATGTGATTGATGTAATAGAGGTATGTGATTGACGTAATAGAGGTATGTGATTGATGTAATAGAGGTATGTGATTGATGTAATAGAGGTATGTGATTGATGTAATAGAGGTATGTGATTGATGTAATAGAGGTATGTGATTGATGTAATAGAGGTATGTGATTGATGTAATAGAGGTATGTGATTGACGTATATAGAGGTATGTGATTGACGTAATAGAGGTATGTGATTGATGTAATAGAGGTATGTGATTGACGTAATAGAGGTATGTGATTGATGTAATAGAGGTATGTGATTGTGTTTCTGCACAATGGTAAGCCTTGTTTGGTTTCTGCTCTGGCTGTAGATTTATGCACCTGCTCTATTGAGCCAATCCTACAATCTATTGTGACAAAGACCCCAGTCTAACCTAAATCTCATACTCTCCTTCATTGGTTTTGAATAATTGATGAAAGCAAGATGACAATGGGGCCTTTCCAAAGAAATATCATCTATCAGGCAGCAACACCATCAGGTCAAGAAGCAACCCACTGCCAAGAGCCTCAGTGGGGAACAGATCCATTTGGAGGCCGCATGACTCTCAGGTGTATACCTCTATAGATGCCAGATGAGCACATCATTGATCATGGGCCCCTGAGAATTGTGACTGATTCTTGAAATTCCACTCAATTTGCTGAAATCATGTAAAGAATATTTAATGAAATCTTAGATAAAATTAAAATATTTTAATACAAGTGAAAGCCCAGATACACATTGAACAATTTGGCCAGATAGGATAACTAACTTGCGTACTCCAATACAGATTTTAGACATGCTGTTTCTGGTTTCATGTGCTTACAGTTAAGTCCTTGCATGCTGATTGTATGCATGCATTATACACACACTCAAAAGTACCCTGTTATTTTTTATATGTCTGATATTAAAAGCAATCTACATATTTGGTGGAATATATTATCATTGTTCAATATTGAGATTGTAAAATTAGTGTAACTCACTTGCTTGGCAAGTGACCCTGAAAACACATGAGCAAATCTTATTATTGGACACTGAGCTGGTTAAATGGCTGCTAAGCATGAATATATGTTTGTGTCCTCAGTATTCACTGAGTAGCCTGCAGATTCAATTCATCAGAATTATACTTATCACGGAATACATTTATGCAGGGGAGACCTTACCAAGGTTGAAAAAAAGAACAGGGTGGTGGTTAAAGATATCCTTTACAAAAAAGTGACCTTAACACAGAAGTATTTACCCCAGCATTGGGATATTTCACTACACATGAGATCAGAGACTTATGTGTCTTAGAATAATGGTGCTGAAGAACGGTCTCCAGGTAATGTAGTAGAGGTAGGATATCTGCAGTAATTGTCAAGCAGTAGTTGTTATCTGTTTAGAATTCGAAGAATACTGTTTCTCTCTCATTGTGTAGGCATGTGTTGAATGGACTATACACCCTCACCAGCCACCCCCTCCCTGAAACAGTACTAGGATTTCTACATGACTAATCCCCAAATGTAACATATCTGCACATTGTGCACTGTGCAGATATACATGCTGTCTACCTGAAGTCTGTGCGAAGCCCAATTCAACGCGACCGATTCCGTCTACAAGCACATCACTATGAGAAGGATGTTTTCTCCCAGGTCCCTGAGCATGAAGACAATGAGTACGAGGAAGACAGCTTCTGTGTGGGGGATGACTTTCAGGAATCAGGTTAACCATCACTCACACTGTCTTAATGGTTCCTAGTTGATTTATGGTTTGACCAAATGAAGGACAACCATATCAGTAAATTGTAACAAGCCCAAAATTTACTATCTATCACAACAATGGTTTTGGCTGATCTGATTACAGGATAGTATCTTCAGTAGATATGTCAACAATAATAGGTTCAGCAAAGATTTATAGTATTTGTGGACATTTCACTGATCGAGGTAAAGTCCTACTAAAGCATTCAGTTCTGGCATGGTCAAATGACACCTGACAATAACTCAAACAGAGAGTAGAAACATGTGTGAAGACATGTTTTCTCAGGCTTTAAGATGGCCAGAGTGAGGGTATGGTCAAGTTTAACAGACATTCCCCCAATTATCTAGTTACATTGATACAGATATTTGGTTGTTGATTTCAGAGTACATTGATGAGGAGGAACATGATTTGTTGGATGACTTTGAAGAATTTTCACATTATTCAAAAAGAAAAGGTGCAAAACATTCGAAATCCCAAAAATCTAAGCATATTGTTGGAAGATCCAGAAAAAGGATACGTCAGATATCTGGGTCATCCAGTGAAGAGGAAACTAGAATAGCCACCTCTTTGCTTGAGAACACACAGGCTGACAACCATGACTCTCACTTGCTATGCAGTCAGAAAAATGAACCTATTCGAAAGAAGATTGCAGCCATTTTGTCCAGCAGTGAGGAGGAACTAACTCCAAAATGTGTATCAAAGCCATCACATCATGCACCTCACACAACCAGCTTTGAGCAATCAGATATGAACACTTCTTCACAACAGAAGTCTGTGGAAGTGTTGGATGCTGACAAGATGCGCCAGGAACGTCTTGCCAAGCAAAAACAGAAGCAAGAGGAATTCCGTACAAGGATGTCCAAGAAGAATGGAGCTGCCAGCGTTAGCAGCAGTTATAACGATAGGCTTGAGCCCCAGACAGCAGGTGCTCCTATCTCTGACTCAACAGTGTCAAGGAGGTCATTAGACAGTAGTCAAACTACAGAGAAGAGGTCCAAGTTTGAATGTGAAGACTATGACTTTGCTTCTGACAAACTGAGTTCAGTTATTCCAAAGCCACTGGTATGTATTTTTCAGTTTGACTGCTTACATGTAACTCAGTTCCCTTCCAGCCACTCAATGTTTCTGTCAGTCCTTCTGTCAGCACACAAAAATGTTTTCATGCAATAGAAGTAAGAGATGACAATCACTCACCTGTTTATGGCCATTCAGCGATAAGTCTTGATAAGAGTGAGTGCATCCTGTTAACTAGTTTGAAGCAACTGATTCTCCATTTCATTGAATGTTTCTTTTCAGCCAACTAACTGTGGTTTAAAGGACAAGATAGTGATACTAGTTGATTCAAGAGAAATCAGTGGGGCACAGGTAAGTTCTCATGGGATGGGAAAAATGGTGATATCACATGCAGTCAGTGAGGCACAGGTAAGATGTTATGGTAAAGGGGAAGGTGGTGAAATCACAAGCAATCAGTGAGACACAGGTAAGATGTTATGGTAAAGGGGGTGATATCACATGGAGTTAGTGAGGCACAGGTAAGATGTCATGGTAAAGGTGGTGATATCACATGCAGTTAGTGAGGCACAGGTAAGATGTTATGGTAAAGGGGAAGGTGGTGATATCACATGCAGTTAATTGGGCACAGGTAAGATTTTATGGAAAAGGGGGTGATATCACATGCAGTTAGTGAGGCACAGGTAAGATGCCATGGTAAAGGGGAAGGTGGTGATATCACATGCAATCAGTGAGACACAGGTAAGATGTCATGGTAAAGGGGAAGGTGGTGATATCACATGCAGTTAGTGGGGCACAGGTAAGATGTCATGGTAGAGGAGAAGGTGGGGATATCACATGCAATCAGTGAGACACAGGTAAGATGTTATGGTAAAGGTAGTGATATCACATGCAGTTAGTGAGGCACAGGTAAGATGTTATGGTAAAGGGGAAGGTGGTGAAATCACATGCAATCAGTGAGACACAGGTAAGATGTTATGGTAAAGGGGGTGATATCACATGCAGTTAGTGAGGCACAGGTAAGATGTCATGGTAAAGGGAAAGGTGGTGATATCACATGCAATCAGTGAGACACAGGTAAGATGTTATGGTAAAGGGGAAGGTGGTGATATCACATGCAGTTAGTGGGGCACAGGTAAGATGTTATGGTAAAGGGGAAGGTGGTGATATCACATGCTATCAGTGAGACACAGGTAAGATGTCATGGTAAAGGGGGTGATATCACTTGTAGTTAGTCAGGCACAGGTAAGATGTCATGGTAAAGGGGAAGGTGGTGAAATCACATGCAATCAGTGAGACAGGTAAGATGTTATGGTAAAGGTGGTGATATCACATGCAGTTAGTGAGGCACAGGTAAGATGTCATGGTAAAGGGGAAGGTGGTGGTATCACATGCAGTTAGTGGGACACAGATAAAATGTTATGGTAAAGGTGGTGATATCACATGAAGTTAGTGAGGCACAGGTAAGATGTCATGGTAAAGGGAAGGTGATGATATCACATGCAGTTAGTGGGGCACAGGTAAGATGTTATGGTAAAGGGGAAGGTGGTGATATCACATGCAATCAGTGAGACACAGGTGTGATGTTATGGTAAAGGTGGTGATATCACTTGTAGTTAGTGAGGCACAGGTAAGATGTCACGGTAAAGGGGAAGGTGATGATATCACTTGCAGTTAGTGGGGCACAGGTAAGATGTTGTGGTAAAGGGAAAGGTGGTGATATCACATGCAGTCAGTGAGACACATAAGATGTTATGGTAAAGGTGGTGATATCACATGCAGTTAATGAGGCACAGGTAAGATGTTGTGGTAAAGGGAAAGGTGGTGATATCACATGCAGTTAATTGGACACAGGTAAGATTTTATGGAAAAGGGGGTGATATCACATGCAGTTAGTGAGGCACAGGTAAGATGCCATGGTAAAGGGGAAGGTGGTGATATCATATGCAATCAGTGAGACACAGGTAAGATGTTATGGTAAAGGTAGTGATATCACATGCAGTTAGTGAGGCACAGGTAAGATGTTATGGTAAAGGGGAAGGTGGTGAAATCACATGCAATCAGTGAGACACAGGTAAGATGTTATGGTAAAGGGGGTGATATCACATGCAGTTAGTGAGGCACAGGTAAGATGTCATGGTAAAGGGGAAGGTGGTGATATCACATGCAATCAGTGAAACACAGGTAAGATGTTATGGTCAAGGGGAAGGTGGTGATATCACATGCAGTTAGTGGGGCACAGGTAAGATGTTATGGTAAAGGGGAAGGTGGTGATATCACATGCTATCAGTGAGACACAGGTAAGATGTCATGGTAAAGGGGGTGATATCACTTGTAGTTAGTCAGGCACAGGTAAGATGTTATGGTAAAGGGGAAGGTGGTGAAATCACATGCAATCAGTGAGACAGGTAAGATGTTATGGTAAAGGGGGTGATATCACATGCAGTTAGTGGGACACAGATAAAATGTTATGGTAAAGGGGAAGGTGGTGAAATCACATGCAATCAGTGAGACACAGGTAAGATGTTATGGTAAAGGGGGTGATATCACATGCAGTTAGTGAGGCACAGGTAAGATGTCATGGTAAAGGGAAAGGTGGTGATATCACATGCAATCAGTGAGACACAGGTAAGATGTTATGGTAAAGGTGGTGATATCACATGAAGTTAGTGAGGCACAGGTAAGATGTCATGGTAAAGAGGAAGGTGATGATATCACATGCAGTTAGTGGGGCACAGGTAAGATGTTATGGTAAAGGGGAAGGTGGTGATATCACATGCAATCAGTGAGACACAGGTGTGATGTTATGGTAAAGGTGGTGATATCACTTGTAGTTAGTGAGGCACAGGTAAGATGTCACGGTAAAGGGGAAGGTGATGATATCACTTGCAGTTAGTGGGGCACAGGTAAGATGTTGTGGTAAAGGGAAAGGTGGTGATATCACATGCAGTCAGTGAGACACATAAGATGTTATGGTAAAGGTGGTGATATCACATGCAGTTAATGAGGCACAGGTAAGATGTTGTGGTAAAGGGAAAGGTGGTGATATCACATGCAGTTAATTGGACACAGGTAAGATTTTATGGAAAAGGGGGTGATATCACATGCAGTTAGTGAGGCACAGGTAAGATGCCATGGTAAAGGGGAAGGTGGTGATATCATATGCAATCAGTGAGACACAGGTAAGATGTTATGGTAAAGGTAGTGATATCACATGCAGTTAGTGAGGCACAGGTAAGATGTTATGGTAAAGGGGAAGGTGGTGAAATCACATGCAATCAGTGAGACACAGGTAAGATGTTATGGTAAAGGGGGTGATATCACATGCAGTTAGTGAGGCACAGGTAAGATGTCATGGTAAAAGGAAGGTGGTGATATCACATGCAATCAGTGAAACACAGGTAAGATGTTATGGTCAAGGGGAAGGTGGTGATATCACATGCAGTTAGTGGGGCACAGGTAAGATGTTATGGTAAAGGGGAAGGTGGTGATATCACATGCTATCAGTGAGACACAGGTAAGATGTCATGGTAAAGGGGGTGATATCACTTGTAGTTAGTCAGGCACAGGTAAGATGTTATGGTAAAGGGGAAGGTGGTGAAATCACATGCAATCAGTGAGACAGGTAAGATGTTATGGTAAAGGGGGTGATATCACATGCAGTTAGTGGGACACAGATAAAATGTTATGGTAAAGGTGGTGATATCACATGAAGTTAGTGAGGCACAGGTAAGATGTTGTGGTAAAGGGGAAGGTGATGATATCACATGCAGTTAGTGGGGCACAGGTAAGATGTCATGGTAAAGGGGAAGGTGGTGGTATCACATGCAGTTAGTGGGACACAGATAAAATGTTATGGTAAAGGTGGTGATATCACATGAAGTTAGTGAGGCACAGGTAAGATGTTATGGTAAAGGGGAAGGTGATGATATCACATGCAGTTAGTGGGGCACAGGTAAGATGTTATGGTAAAGGGGAAGGTGGTGATATCACATGCAATCAGTGAGACACAGGTGTGATGTTATGGTAAAGGTGGTGATATCACTTGTAGTTAGTGAGGCACAGGTAAGATGTCACGGTAAAGGGGAAGGTGATGATATCACTTGCAGTTAGTGGGGCACAGGTAAGATGTGGTAAAGGGAAAGGTGGTGATATCACATGCAGTCAGTGAGACACAGATAAGATGTTATGGTAAAGGTGGTGATATCACATGCAGTTAGTGAGGCACAGGTAAGATGTCATGGTAAAGGGGAAGGTGATGATATCACATGCAGTCAGTGAGGCACAGATAAGATGTCATGGTAAAGGGGAAGGTGGTGGTATCACATGCAGTTAGTGGGACACAGATAAAATGTTATGGTAAAGGTGGTGATATCACATGAAGTTAGTGAGGCACAGGTAAGATGTTATGGTAAAGGGGAAGGTGATGATATCACATGCAGTTAGTGGGGCACAGGTAAGATGTTATGGTAAAGGGGAAGGTGGTGATATCACATGCAATCAGTGAGACACAGGTGTGATGTTATGGTAAAGGTGGTGATATCACTTGTAGTTAGTGAGGCACAGGTAAGATGTTATGGTAAAGGGGAAGGTGATGATATCACATGCAGTTAGTGGGGCACAGGTAAGATGTCACGGTAAAGGGGAAGGTGATGATATCACTTGCAGTTAGTGGGGCACAGGTAAGATGTGGTAAAGGGAAAGGTGGTGATATCACATGCAGTCAGTGAGACACAGATAAGATGTTATGGTAAAGGTGGTGATATCACATGCAGTTAGTGAGGCACAGGTAAGATGTCATGGTAAAGGGGAAGGTGATGATATCACATGCAGTTAGTGAGGCACAGGTAAGATGTTGTGGTAAAGGTGGTGATATCACATGCAGTTAGTGAGGCACAGGTAAGATGTCATGGTAAAGGGGAAGGTGGTGATATCACATGCAGTTAGTGGGGCACAGGTAAGATGTTGTAAAGGGGAAGGTGGTGATATCACATGCAGTCATTGAGACACATAAGATGTTATGGTAAAGGTAGTGATATCACATGCAGTTTGTGAGGCACAGGTAAGATGTCATGGTAAAGGGGAAGGTGATGATATCACTTGCAGTTAGTGGGGCACAGGTAAGATGTTGTGGTAAAGGGAAAGGTGGTGATATCACATGCAGTCAGTGAGACACATAAGATGTTATGGTAAAGGTGGTGATATCACATGCAGTTAATGAGGCACAGGTAAGATGTTGTGGTAAAGGGAAAGGTGGTGATATCACATGCAGTCAGTGAGACACATAAGATGTTATGGTAAAGGTGGTGATATCACATGCAGTTAGTGAGGCACAGGTAAGATGTCAAGGTAAAAGGGAAGGTGGTGATATCACTTGTAGTTAGTGAGGCGCATGTAAGCTGTGACGTATATGTATGCTATATCTGCTACCCTATGTGTGTGAACAGTTTGTATACTGCCCAACGACTCTCAACCTGCTAGTGTTACTAGATAAGCTGTCAACATGATATTCCTAAGCTCATATTTCCCATGTCGATCTAAAGTGCATTGTTTGTTACCTTACACCTGTAGTGTGAAATGTTTTCCACTTCAGGACATAGTGTCTAACTTGAGATTACAGCACGGAGTGACAGTCCTAGCTCGCCAACTTGGTGCCTGTGACTACATCATCAGTAACAGAACAGCTGTTGATCGCAGGCAGCTCTCAGGTGATACACCAGTCATAGCAGGAGTTATGTCTCCAAAAATAGACAACGTAGCCATTCCATAAAACATAAGAAAATATGAATACATTTACTAGATAAACTGTTTCAAGCTTTTGTGTAGTACCTCTCCAAGTCTGTGAGAACAAAGATGTCCAATTTGACACATTGTCACATGAAGGAAGGTGTTACAAGTTTGTTACTTGAGTTATGATGGCTGTTGATGTTACAGATTTCAGTAATGGGGCCCAGCGTGGGAAGCTGATAGATCGTGTCCAGCAGATGAGGGAGCTGTATGCGTTATGACGGCTGTTGATGTTACAGATTTCAGTAATGGGGCCCAGCGTTGGAAGCTGATAGATCGTGTCCAGCAGATGAGGGAGCTGTATGAGTTATGACGGCTGTTGATGTTACAGATTTCAGTAATGGGGCCCAGCGTGGGAAGCTGATAGATCGTGTTCAGCAGATGAGGGAGCTGTATGAGTTATGATGGCTGTTGATGTTACAGATTTCAGTAATGGGGCCTAGCGTTGGAAGTTGATAGATCGTGTCCAGCAGATGAGGGAGCTGTATGAGTTATGACGGCTGTTGATGTTACAGATTTCAGTAATGGGGCCTAGCGTTGGAAGTTGATAGATCGCGTGTCCAGCAGATGAGGGAGCTGTATGAGTTATGACGGCTGTTGATGTTACAGATTTCAGTAATGGGGCCTAGCGTTGGAAGTTGATAGATCGTGTCCAGCAGATGAGGGAGCTGTATGAGTTATGATGGCTGTTGATGTTACAGATTTCAGTAATGGGGCCCAGCGTTGGAAGCTGACAGATCGTGTCCAGCAGATGAGGGAGCTGTATGAGTTATGATGGCTGTTGATGTTACAGATTTCAGTAATGGGGCCCAGCGGGGAAGCTGATAGATCGTGTTCAGCAGATGAGGGAGCTGTATGAGTTATGACGGCTGTTGATGTTACAGATTTCAGTAATGGGGCCCAGCGTGGGAAGTTGATAGATCGTGTTCAGCAGATGAGGGAGCTGTATGAGATATGACGGCTGTTGATGTTACAGATTTCAGTAATGGGGCCCAGCGTGGGAAGCTGATAGATCGTGTTCAGCAGATGAGGGAGCTGTATGAGTTATGACGGCTGTTGATGTTACAGATTTCAGTAATGGGGCCTAGCGTTGGAAGCTGATAGATCGTGTCCAGCAGATGAGGGAGCTGTATGAGTTATGATGGCTGTTGATGTTACAGATTTCAGTAATGGGGCCCAGCGTGGAAAGTTGATAGATCGTGTCCAGCAGATGAGGGAGCTGTATGACAGGTGCTGCCTCATAGTTGAGAAGGATAGAGTGAAGCCAGGCGAGGAGAAATCAGCCAAGCTAAGGTAGCAGCAAGATATAGTTGTAGATATGACAGAACTTTGTTTGCATGTTACACTGACAGGTAATGAAGACAAGGCCATATATTCAGGACAGGCTGTGAGTGACAGTCTAGTACTGGTGGGAAATGACTCAGATGATGGAGTTTGTTGTGGAGGAGAAAGTCAGCTTATAACATTAGGTGGTGTGACGGTCAGTTTATAACATTAGGTGGTGTTGATGGTGTGACTGTCAGCTTATAACATTAGGTGGTGTCGATGGTGTGACTGTCGGCTTATAACATTAGGTTGTGTGACTGTCAGTTTATAACATTAGGTGGTGTTGATGGTGTGACTGTCAGCTTATAACATTAGGTGGTGTGGATGGTGTGACTGTCAGCTTATAACATTAGGTGGTGTGACTGTCAGTTTATAACATTAGGTGGTGTGGATGGTGTGACTATCAGCTTATAACATTAGGTGGTGTGGATGGTGTGACTGTCAGCTTATAACATTAATTAAATGTGAATGGTGTGACTGTCAGCTTAAACCATTATGTGGTGTGGATGGTGTGACTGTCGGCTTATAGCATTAGGTGGTGTGACTGTCAGCTTATGCTACTAGGTGGTGTGGATGGTGTGACTGTCAGCTTATGGTACTAGGTGGTGTGGATGGTGTGACTGTCAGCTTATGGTACTAGGTGGTGTGGATGATGTGACTGTCAGCTTACGCTACTAGGTGGTGCGGATGGTGTGACTGTCAGCTTACGCTACTAGGTGATGTGGATGTTGTGACTGTCAGCTTATGGTACTAGGTGGTGTGGATGGTGTGACTGTCAGCTTATGGTACTAGGTGATGTGGATGGTGTGACTGTCAGCTTATGGTACTAGGTGGTGTGGATGGTGTGACTGTCAGCTTATGCTACTAGGTGGTGTCGATGGTGTGACTGTCAGCTTATGCTACTAGTTGGTGTGGATGGTGTGACTGTCAGCTTATGGTACTAGGTGGTGTGGATGGTGTGACTGTCAGCTTATGCTACTAGGTGGTGTGGATGGTGTGACTGTCAGCTTATGCTACTAGGTGGTGTGGATGGTGTGACTGTCAGCTGATGGTACTAGGTGGTGTGGATGGTGTGACTGTCAGCTTATGGTACTAGGTGGTGTGGATGGTGTGACTGTCAGCTTACGCTACTAGGTGGTGCGGATGGTGTGACTCAGCTTACGCTACTAGGTGATGTGGATGTTGTGACTGTCAGCTTATGGTACTAGGTGGTGTGGATGGTGTGACTGTGAGCTTATGGTACTAGGTGATGTGGATGGTGTGACTGTCAGCTTATGCTACTAGGTGGTGTGGATGGTGTGACTGTCAGCTTATGCTACTAGGTGGTGTCGATGGTGTGACTGTCAGCTTATGCTACTAGTTGGTGTGGATGGTGTGACTGTCAGCTTATGGTACTAGGTGGTGTGGATGGTGTGACTGTCAGCTTATGCTACTAGGTGGTGTGGATGGTGTGACTGTCAGCTTATGGTACTAGGTGGTGTGGATGGTGTGACTGTCAGCTTATGGTACTAGGTGGTGTGGATGGTGTGACTGTCAGCTTATGGTACTAGATGGTGTGACTGTCAGCTTATAACATTAGGTGGTGTGGTTGTTGTGACTGCCAGCTTATGCTACCAGGTGTTAGTGGTTTTAGGTGCTGTTATATATAATACATCACAATCAGTCATCTTTTAAAGACATGGAAGAGATTCAGCTGAATGATTTCAGTAACATTGAAGAATGGTAACAAGTTGTTAGAGATGATAAACTGTGATAAATGCCTTTGTCTCAGAATGACAGTGAGTGACAGATTTAGGTCAGAGGGGCTAAAGTCAGGTCACCTAACACCATGGAGGCAGAACTATTTGTCTATTGTATATTTTCATAAGCACAGAGGTTAATGTTCTGTGGCTGCATAGCATTGGGTCTAGCACAAAGTACAATGTAAAAATGTTTGCAGAGATGTATGATATCATATTTTGAATGATGATTTGTAGAAATATTTGCACAAATAAGATTGGTTTGAAACACTTAGTGTTACGTGTTCTGAATTTTTGTTTTGTATGTAAAAATACCACCTCTTTTAGTCACCCCAAAGGTAAAATACTGAGTTTGTTAGAACACCCACTTTGTGTATGATGCCTTACTGTTGCGAGTACTCTTTCGAATCCTGGATGGGACTGAACCCTTAAAGTGTATTGTGCACTGAAGACATTTGGAGGGAAGGAAATGTCATCTAAGGAAGGAAATGAGCACAATAGGATAGGAAGTGATTTAGAGTTTGAAAACAGTTTGTTTGAAATGGGTGGCAGAATAAGAATCTACTAGATTTACTGTCAACGATACAGGTATTTTTCTTGAGGCAGAACCCATCTTTCCCTCTGGTATATTCTGGCAAACATATAATAGAGGTGATTGCTGTAAAAAATACAGGATTCTTTCATTACTGATTCATTTATTCTAACCCGTGAAGGTCCAGGTTAGAATGTGCCTTCAGTAACCCATGCTTGTCATAAGAGGCGACTAACGGGATCGAATGGTCAGATTCGCTGACTTGGTTGACATATGTCATCGGTTCCCAATTGCACAGATCGATGCTCATGCTGTTGATCACTGGATTGTCTGGTCCAGACTCGACCGCCGCCATATAGCTGGAGTATTGCTGAGTGTGGCGTAAAACTAAACTCACTCACTCACTCATTTATTCTGATTTTGTTTCAGTCACAGAACAAAGTACAATGACTGGATTCAAAGTGTTCTTGTTCAAACGAATGTTCGTCTTTTCTTCACTGAAAATCAAGGTAATTTATGAGCACTGAAGGTCAAGGTAATACCCAATTTATGACCATTGAAAGTGAAGGTAATGCCAAATATATCACCAGTGAAGATCAAGGTAATGCCCAATATTGGTCTATTCAGGATCAAGGTAATGCCTAGTTTAAGACCAAACTGGGGTCAAGGTAATGTTCAGTGTAGGGCAACTGGGGCTAAGGTAATGTCCAGCGTAGGGCAACTGGGGTCAGGATAATGCCCAGTGTAGGGAAACAGGGGTCAAGGTAATGCCCAGTGTAGGGCAACCGGGGCCAAGATAATGCCCAGTGTAGGGCAACTGGGGTCAAGGTAATGTCCAGTGTAGGGCAACTGGGGTCAAGGTAATGCCCAGTGTAGGGCAACTGGGGTCAAGGTAATGCCCAGTGTAGGGCAACAGGGGCCAAGGTAATGTCCAGTATAGGACAACTAAGTATGATCTATGACTACTGAAGATAAGGTAACAGCAATGTAAGACCTTTGAAGATCTCAATATAGTTACAGCTATTGTGCCTCATCAACATTGGCATGCTTAGTAGCCAGCTGTGATTGACAGTGGAATTTGAACTGATCTTCACTTTTTGTACATCTGAATACCCCAAGTTGATATGATTATTAAGAAATTGACTTTCATTTTCTCCTTAGTGTCAGTGCCATGTCTTTTCACTGAAGTGAACATCAGTCCCTATGTGCATATGTGTTTGTTAATGTCAGCCAAGATAGAGGTTGGTTGGCTCAGTAAATTATCAAATTTTGATCATATCTAAGTAGATAGAAAATAGCATATAAGTGCAGGGGCTTATGTAGCAAAAATGCTTTTCGTGGAAAGTGCATGTTAATTTTTGGAACCACTGATGACTGTAATCAGTATTGCATATGGATTCAGAAAAACCATGGTTCCATTTTGTCTGATGATTATAAGTGTCATTCTGGGGTAACTGAACATCGGTACCCATAATCAAGCTGCAACACCAAAGTGAGAAAAACATGTTTTTATAAACCTATCACAACATAGGCATGTAGTATATCAAAATGAACCTTGTGATGTGTGTTTTACAACTACCATCATATATCATGAATCTCAATAATATATGTATGCATAATAATCAATATGATCATAATCGCTTCTGCCAAAACCGAAGGTTTGTTGCAGAGGGTATGCATTCAACCCTGTTTGTGTGTGTGTGTGTATTTATGTGTTAGCATCTTACTCAAAACCTACTAGATTGATTTCAGTTAATCTTGGGGCGGTGGGGTAGCCTAGTGGTTAAAGCGTTCGCTTGTCACGCCGAAGACCCGGGTTCGATTCCCTACATGGGTACAATGTGTAAAGCCCATTTCTGGTGTCCCCCGCCGTGATATTGCTGGAATATTGCTAAAAGCGGCGTAAAACCCAATTCACTCACTCACTCACTCATTTTAACTTATTGGATCTCTTGGGTATGTCTCCAGGACAAATCAATTAGATGTTGGAGAAAGTACACTCTTCAAAATAAGAAACACAATAGCAAAATATCATTGAAAAATTTGGTCATATTCAATTATGTAAATCAACAAAAATAAACGGTACAGCATTGAAATATATGTAGAGCAATACATTGGTATCTCGTGCACATTTCACAAGGATGATAGTCATCATAGTCATTACTGCTGTCCACGAGGTGACGTTGACATTACTGCCTTGTATGGCCACCTCTTACTGCTAGAACTGCATGACACCTCCTTGACACAGATTGAATCAGTTGTTGGATGTTTCCTTGTGGAATCTTTCTCCATTCTACAATATATGTAGAGCAATACATTGGTATCTCGTGAACTGCATGACACCTCCTTGACACAGATTGAATCAGTTGTTGGATGTTTCCTTGTGGAATCTTTCTCCATTCTACAATATATGTAGAGCAATACATTGGTATCTCGTGAACTGCATGACACCTCCTTGACACAGATTGAATCAGTTGTTGGATGTTTCCTTGTGGAATCTTTCTCCATTCTACAATATATGTAGAGCAATACATTGGTATCTCGTGAACTGCATGACACCTCCTTGACACAGATTGAATCAGTTGTTGGATGTTTCCTTGTGGAATCTTTCTCCATTCTACAATATATGTAGAGCAATACATTGGTATCTCGTGAACTGCATGACACCTCCTTGACACAGATTGAATCAGTTGTTGGATGTTTCCTTGTGGAATCTTTCTCCATTCTACAATATATGTAGAGCAATACATTGGTATCTCGTGAACTGCATGACACCTCTTTGACACAGATTGAATCAGTTGTTGGATGTTTCCTTGTGGAATCTTTCTCCATTCTACAATATATGTAGAGCAATACATTGGTATCTCGTGAACTGCATGACACCTCCTTGACACAGATTGAATCAGTTGTTGGATGTTTCCTTGTGGAATCTTTCTCCATTCTACAATATATGTAGAGCAATACATTGGTATCTCGTGCACATTTCACAAGGATGATAGTCATCATAGTCATTATCCTGACTCATGTTTATTTGCTTGTCTTCTTCTTCTGGCAAACCTAGTGGAACATTTGTATCTCCCAATTGAAGTTCCCTTCAATAAAAAATCACTCATTAGTACTGACCACGAGTTACCTCCCTTCCACAAGCTCGGGAACGAGGGCGCCACCTGAACCCATGTGCCTCACTCTCTCCTTCTTCGCCCAGTGAGCAAGACATGAGAGCACCTGTGTCTCCCCTGCACACTATATCCTTTATTTATATTTAGTTTGTTACCTCTTATATTCATCTATAGAGGTGTAACTAGTATCATTATTCAACATGCATTGATAATTATTCGTGTTTCTGCTGCTTGATTCACGGTTCGCCGTGGTTTGCTCAGCAGTTTGCATGCTAATAAAAATCTGCACTGTTTGTAAATTACGCTACTCTGCTACCGATCCACATTTAAAATGCCCTAGTTGCATTACTCCATGTTCTATTGTTTCTCGCTGTAAATTATGTATTAATTTACCAATTTCTGCCTTTGATAAATATTTATGTTCCGCTTTGAGACGGAAGGCAGATAAATCTCGAAACAATCTTCAGTCATGGCTAATAGATCGGAGTCAGATATATCCTGAGTTACCTTCGGGATAAGCGTGGACGCAGTCCGCTATATCTAGAAGCTTAATTCTGCTTCCCAGGACGCTCCTTCATCACAGTCTAAAACTAGAAGAACTTCCACGCCGCCTCAACGTGATGCTCCGAGCCCCCAGGTCTACAGCCTCGCCAAAGGGAAATCCACTAAGACTACTAAAAAAATTAAAAACTTTTGCTTCTGATATTCAGAATTATGTTTATATGATGATGACATTTCGCTTATCATTCCAGATGTATGTCATAAGAAGTGACCAGTACGGCTACCGCCACTTCAACGCAGATCAACATGCAATCAGAGATGCCTACGCTGACGCCGGAGATTATAACTGAGGGTCCCGCCACTATCACAGAGAGGACACCCTCAACGCCAGCGCAGACCATCCCAGACGACCTGGTCAACCAAATCATGAGGCTGATGGAAGACCGCTACGGCTTAGAGAGGCTCAGAGCCACGGGCCCCAGAGCCCACCCCATACTAAGTCATACAGGGCCCCAGAGCCCGCCTTTGACTTCGCTGTAGGGCCCCTGAGCCCATAGACGCCAGCCCGCTGGGGCAACCCTGCCCGAGTGAGCTCTTTGCATAAGGTATCCCAGGTCAGCCCGGGAGGAGCTAGAGCCTGACCCTTTGCAAGAGGCTTCGCTGGAGAAGGAGCGCCGCCTAGCACGCACCTTGTCATGTACGGCATGGCGCTTCGCAAAGCAAGCACTCATATGTCGGATCGACACTGACTTCCAGACATTCGCGCAAGACGCCGCTGGCTAAGTGGTTCTACAACGCCTAGGGAGGCGCTCACAGCCCCCTCAACGCTCGAGAAGTCCAGAGCGCCTCATGGGCCATCACCGCTCTCGGCCCACAGTTTCCGCTGGCGATGTCTTCTTCAAGGTCTACATACACTAGCCAATCGCCAGTCCGTTCTCCTCAGTCCTCACATAGATCTTCTTACAGATCGAGGTTCGACATACCACCATACGCCAGAGGAAGACGATGGTATCATTTAAGATCGGAAGGAGCGCCACGAGCCCACACCCTGTAGAACACAGAGGTCGCTCGCTGGGCAAGCCATATATTGATCGGACTCTGACTCGATACTTCGCGGGGTCGCTAAGGCTAAGTGGCTCCAAGTCTATTTCACCCAGAAGATCTAGAAGCGCATTTCGAGATCTTCGAAAATCCCGGCGTCACGAGGAAGTCTCCTCCAAGGTCTCCATATACTAGCCACTCGCCATATATAGCCACTCGCCAGTCCGCTCAAGACATCACATGAGTTGTTTATCAACTGTAAGCCATATGCCGCCTACAAGCCTACGCTAAGACAATTGCACAGGCTATTTACAACACACAACGCCGCTGTATTAATTTATCAACGGATGAAGAGCCTAATTAGGATCTTCGCCGACTACCTACTACGATACGATTATCTACATGCGACCATTACGCAGATCTGCAGACAATTCAAAACGAAATTGAACAGCAGTCTTGTTACAGCGAAGTAAAACTCATAATCGCCAACGATTTCCTCAGAAGTAATATGTACAACAAGTTCAGCTTTAACAGTCTACAAGCTGACAACTTGCAAGGTTATTGAACCTTATATAAGGAAGTCGGAATTATCTTCAAGACTGAAGTTACTTTCACGACAGCCTGGAAAATAACTTACCCAGCATTAATATTACAGAGCGAGGTATTTCGCTACCGAGGTTTCGCTGCTACCATCAACCCTCAAACACGTATCACCGGGTAACTTCGAAGTTACGTGAAGACCGACGATTGTTCTAATATCAACGACGGCACTATATTATACAAGGTTCCTTTCCTGATACACCGTGACGCCACAGCTGGGTACTCTACAGAATCAAAATGCCTTGTTC